TCTCACAGATAAACCAACTTTAAAATAAAGATGGCATGAAGATCTCACAGATAAACCAACTTTAAAATAAAGATGGCATGAAAATCTCACACATAAACCAACTTTAAAATAAAGATGGCATGAAAATCTCACAGATAAACCAACTTTAAAATAAAGATGGCATGAAGATCTCACAGATAAACCAACTTTAAAATAAATATGGCATGAAGATCTCACACATAAACCAACTTTAATATAAAGATGGCATGAAGATCTCACAGATAAACCAACTTTAAAATAAAGATGGCATGAAGATCTTACAGATAAACCAACTTTAAAATAAAGATGGCATGAAAAGAGAGCACCAAGTACATGTTTCTCAACAAAGAGCAAAATTTATCACACAACAAGTTTCTAAGATGTTAAACAGCTTTGAAGTTTGTCAAAGAAATGAAGAATGCGGAGGTGAAAGGTCAGATATACGAGCTTCTTTTTAATTTTTGGCAGGTCATTAGACTGAGGATTGGAAAGTGATTCTTATCTTTAAAGGGGGTAATAAGAATTGCCTTGGAAATTATAGGTCGGTTGGTCTTACTTACGTAGTGGATAAATTGGAGAGAATTTCTTAAATGAAGCATTGAAATATTGTTTAGTGAAATATTACATCATAAAAGAGAACAAACGTGCATCCCCTAAAAGGAAACCTTGCTGTTTTAATCTGCTTATTTGTTTTTTAAAGATGTTGCTAGTTATTAGGATGAAGGAAGGAGTTAATAAACTTAGGTTTTCAAAAGGCATTTGTTAAAGTACCACATGAATGGCTAAGAAAATCACATGGTAAGGGTTGGGGAAAGCCTAATTAATTGGTTTGGAGGTGAACTATGTGAGAAAAAGCTGTATTGAGGAACTACTACAGACCAACTTTGATCAGTTTGTAGTTTAACAATTGAGTTAATTACAGTAAGTACAAGGTAATGCGCTTGGGTTATCATTAGAGCTGTTACTTATGAGCATTGACTAGTTTCTGGTAAAATAATAAATTAAGTGAAATTACAATTATATCGATTAATGTCAAGAAAATATTAATCAAATGAAAATGAGTGTTTTTGATTATTACTGTCCTAGATTATTACAGCTATCTTAAGTAATCAAAATATTGGCATTATGATTTTTATTTTCTATTAATTGAATGTTAGAATATTAATCAGTGTCATGGCATATGAAAATAATCAACCAATTGAAACTTGTGTTTAAGGTTATTACTATTTTCAATTATTTCAACTGTTTACGTTTCATGAGAATAATCGATTAGTTGAATGTAATTCATAAATGATCCCTGTAATTAATTAATTCTACTAAACACCCAGCTCTAGTGGATCACACTATAAGGATGGAATCCTCTCAGTGAAGAAAAGGATCTATCTTTGTAGATAAGTTAATCAAGCCATCAAAGTAGTGTCTTGTTGCTAATAGTAAAGGGTTTTGGATCTGATGCAACTATGTTTTCCCTGTACATTATTCTCACGTACAACTGTCAAACTGGTGGACCAAACACGACATATACATTTAGAGTTTAACTTCTGTGTCTTCTTTGTGTGTGTTGAGTTGGTGTGTCGGCTATCTCTTCTTTGTGTGTGTGTTGAGTTGGTGTATCGGCTATCTTACACACGTGTAAACAAACAACAATGTAGAGAATTACTAATTAATTGCTAACTTGCAGCTCTCCTTATGACTCCATTAATCCTTTATCATCTCCTTCCATATATTTATGCATGCTAGACATCATCTCCACCAGTACATTTATGCCTAGTATGGTAATGGAAAAAAACCTTCCATGGGCTGGTATACATCCTTTTCTCTCACTTATAAGTTCTCCGATTTTCTGACATCAGCTTCCAATACCTTGCTATCAACAGGAACCAAATTAATTAGCCGAGAGGTTTCCCTTATTTTTAGATATATCAACTTTAGGTAGATACCTTCAGTTAGATTCAGTACAACCTCCCTGTTTGGTATTTCTTTTCCTTTGTCACTTGCATAAGGTTATGAATTAGAGTTATTAGTACAAAAATATAGAAATATGAGTAAATGGAAATACCATTTTTTTTAAGACACCAAACTTAATCTATTTCTTGAAAGTCTCAGAGTTGTCTAGGATTTACAAAGCATGGAAATTATTCATTGCAGTATCTTGTTTGTTGCGCTTCATTAAGAAACTAATATTTATAAGCTTTATTTTATATTTGCTGCTGTCTTCAAATTAATATTGTATTTGTTTATATCGCTAGTGTTTTTTTTTTGTTCTCGAATATATTACATTACTTTTTTCCATTGTGATTTGTCTGTAGAATCTTGAAAACCCTAGAGATAGCTTGTCTGGTCCTGGGACTCCTGATCTCTATACTTATACCAAGAGATTAATATCTACATGACTGAAGTCAATTTTAATATTTCCCATAGAATGATCACAGGATCGGTAAAATACTGAAAATATTCACTTGAGTAAAAGTACTGTTACTTTAGAAAATATTCATCCAAGCAAAAAAGTAAAATATCTGTTGTCGATGGCTACTTAATTAAAA